TAATAAACATTAAAATATTAATTAAAATTAAATAAAACATTATAAAAATAATTTGAAATTATGAAAATAATAAGTAACCCTTAAAAATGTTTTAAATAACCTAAAAATGTTATGATTCAAGAAATAACACTTACAAATTATATATAAAAATTGATATGGAAAACTTAAATATGCTGGGGAATGTCCTACCAACACTATTCTAAATTTAAATTATTAAGGCTAAGAGAGAGTCATTTCTTAACAACTTCTCATTCCATCTCTTGCTCAAAACGCCTTTTGCTCTTTACCTGAAGAGTCAAGTGCACAAAGAAAAAGATGAACCAGACGTGCTAGTACGTTATGGACTCAACCTCAGAGCTTCAAATTAAAACTCATTCTTGAAATTAACATAAAAACATACTAATAGGACCAAAACACATTTCGTAACAAAATGAGACAGGAGAAAGAAAATCAAACAAGAAATGACTCATTTACCAACAAAAGGCAAAAAGAGATTCAAACAGCATCGTATTTTGACAATTGGAATATGCTGATGGAAATATTGTGAAATAAGAAATGCAATATTAGCTTTGCATGTGTGGGTTTCGAGAATGGCGGTGGATTGAGACAAAGCTTTCGGTTTTTTTGAGAGAGAAAGGGAGAACTTGCATGCAAAAGCTGAGAAAAAGTAGACAATAGTTGGCAGTACAAGGAAGAGAGAAAGAGCACACGAGAGGAGAAATAGCAACTGAAGAGCAATCAAGTTAGGTTTTAAGCATTACAGATATATATTTTATTTTTATTGGCTATTAAGATTTTTTATTTTGTATAATAATTTTTATTTTATATTCTCATAATATTTTTAGTGTTAATGTTGTAATTTAATTTTTTTGTTATGTTTGAAAATAAGGAAGATAAAATATAATATTAAAAATTAAATATTTAAATATTTGTAATTACACTTGAATTTTTAAATATAATTTGGTTATATTATAAATTAATTATTATGATGACCAATTATTTTTAATGTAGGATGAATAAAATTGTTGTTATATTATATTCAAATGGTATAATATATGAAGGAAATGAGAATATAATTTTTGAAGGGGAGAAAAAGATGATTAAGATAGAATGTGAGATCACACTTGAGATGTTTAAAAGGAAGATCCACATAGAACTGAAATTGTTTAACTGTGTCACGTAATTTCTAGATTAATTTCACGAATTTTAGTTGGGAATGATCAATACCATACAACTTTGGATGTATGTGATGATGAAGACATAGATTGCATGATAAGTGTATGTCAACAACCACATCATAGGAATGTAGTTGAGATATATGTGCATGTTATGATCGGTAAAACATCTTCTGTTGCGACACGTCTATTAGAAGTAAATTTATCACTCTCACATATTTATGTAAGCGATAACAATGATTATGCAATAAGAGAAGGTAATATTAATTTAATAATTTTAAATTTTTAAAATTGATGTTGCAAATACAATTAATAATATAAGCTTACAATGTAGGATCTAAGATGAAGATGATGAATATGAAGATGAAGAAGATATTTCATTAAATAATTTTTCTGATACTGAGACAGATGATGATTTTGATTCAATGATTAATATGGAGGATATTGTAAGAGTTAGCTCAACACAACAACAACATGAATGTATAATTTTAGATAGTGATTTAAAAGATAAATTTTCATAACTTATATCTGTAGTAATATATAAATCGTTAATGAAGGTGTAAATTTTACAGATAAATTGTTGTAATACAGAAACTACATTGCCTTTTTGGAATATTATCCCACATTATAGTCATATTAATTGGGAATATCCTGCTTAAGAATTAGATTTTCTTGGTATGAATGACTCGCAATCATGAAAAGAAGAAGATGCATTATATGTTGGACAACTATTTGGCACTAAAGAAGATGTAAGAATGACTATAAAACATTATGTCATGAGAAAACATTAAACTTTTGAGTCAAACGTAACAACATTTATTGTGAAGCGTGTCAATCACAATAGTGAATGTAAGAATAGCTATATAAATATGTAATGTTTTAAATAAATTTGATGACATACTTATTATATTTTATTGCTAATTTTTTATGAATATGATATTTTAAATATGTTTATAATTATTTTCTTTTCATATTCTATTTATTCTATAATATAATTGTATATGTTCTTTTTTTCAATAATTTTAATAACAATATTCTGTTTAGTCTTTTTCAAAAACTAAATATTATTTTTACTATATCTAATATTTTTTGTCACAAATATTTATTATATCTTAATCTACCATCAAAATATAAAAATTTTATTATTTCTCTAGTGTCAATTATTTAATATTTTCACAGCCTTCTATATATTTTTTTTCATTACCATGTTTCTTTTTTTTGAACCGTACATCTTAATATAAAATTTTCTTTTCTCTTAATTTATCAATTAATTACAATAACAATTTATATTAATATTTAATAATTAAAATATATTATTTACTTACTATAATTTTAATTTAATACATTCTTAAATTAACAAATTATAAACATTTAATATTATATTATATAATTTCTAATATAATTTATCTAAAATTTTAAACCATAAACTTTAAAGCAAATATGTAATGTTTTAAATAAAATTGATGACATACTTATTATATTTTATTGTTAATTTTTTTATGAATATAATTTTTTAAATATGTTTATAATATAACTATATATATGTTGTTTTTATCAATAATTTTAATAAAAATATTCTATTTAATCTTTTTCAAAAATTAAATATTATTTTTACTACATCTAATTTTTTTATTTCACAAATTTTTTTTATATATCTTAATCTACCATCAAAATATAAAAATTTATTATTTCTCCTACATTCATTATTTAATATTTTCATTGCATTTCATATATATTTTTTCATTATCATATTTTTTATTCTTTTTTCTAAACTATATATTTATATATATTTTTCTTTCCTCTTAATTTATCAATTTATTACAATCAAATTTTTTTATTATTTAATAATTAATGTATATTATGGATTACTATAATTTTAATTTAATACATTTTTAAATAAACTAATTATAAACAATAAAAATTATATTATATAATTTCTAATACAATTTATCTAAAATTTTATTTCTTAAAAAACACAGAAATTAATTTATAAAATATTTAAAAATAAAAATTAAATTATGCACCTTTGCAGCTTCTAATATGGATTTAGACCCTCTTCTTCATGAGCTCCACCCACAAATCCTTCACCTACACCATCAGAAAGTTACATGCATGTAATTTCATATTTAAAAGCTAAAATATATTTGAAATATTATTTCTTTTACCTTATAATATGTTTATCCTCAAAAATTTGAAAATCATATGTCCACAAATGTGCCCACTATGCTCTGATATTTTTTTTTTTTGCAATATCAAAACTTTGTACTCTCAACGACAACAGAGAAGAAGAAAAGGAGAAAGGGGAAAGGAAAAGTCGCGCTCCTAAATGGTCAAAATCTTATGTCACGTGGACCAATCACATTTGTATCGTTGCTGACCCAGCCGACACTTTTGAATCAGCACTAAACTTGCTAACATTGGAGTTGGCACTGAATCAGCTGATTTTCTATGATTTGCACATATATCTTCTTTCTTCTTTACCCGTTGATCCGTTTTAAATTATTTCAAATTTTCTTTTTCTATTTAATTGTTACGACATGTGTTCCACATACACATGAGTCGTCTATTAATTGAACGATTTTGCTTTTTGGTGTCGTCTAACCTCTGGACGACTCTTGTGTCATGTGGCATTCCCTATTTCAGACCGAAAATTTGTTTCAGTGCAGCCCTAATTTGGTATTTTTTTTAAAAAAATTACCCCACAAAGGGAAAAAAGCCAATTTTTGAAGGGGGAGAGAAAAGATGAGGATATAAATTTATATTTTAAATAATTATATTTAAAATATATATTTTTAAAAAATAAAATATATAAATTAATATATCAATAAAAATTTAATATATTAATAATGTATTTATCCTCATAAATAATATATAATTTTTTTAATTTAAAATTAAAAAATGTCTTCTTTTCTTTTCACTTCTAAAACTCTCTTTCCAAATATACTCCAAGGATTTGTTGAAAAGGAAAATTAATGGTCTTTGTTTTCAAATTGATAATAGGGATTGTCGTCTTATTGTTTATCCTGGAAGTGTGCCATTTTCTTGCTCTGCAAATCTGTTATCATTTTCTGTGGACCGGTTGCTTGAGCTTGTATAGTTGGCTATCAAATATTTGCTACATTATAGAAGATTTCTATTATTTTCTCATCTAAAGGGTGTGCTTTTATAATTCTATTTTAAATAAATTTCATATATCATAAAACCAAAATTATATAAAATTTTGACGTGTCATTATTTTTTGTGTCGTTTATGTCATCTATGAAATTATTTTAAAAAATAAAAAATAAATAAATTTTATTCTTTTAACATGTAAAATTATTTAAAAAAAAAAAAAAAACAATTCTGCACATTTGAGTGCAAAACTAACAGTGAGATAGCAAAAAAAACTCCAGAGAAGTAATTTTATTTTTGAATTACTTTAATAATTAGCTATTTAAAAACATTAAAATAAATAAATAAGCCCTAGAAAAAAAGGATTGTCTAACTGGCCCACAAATTGGATTAAACAACCTCGTCCAAAGTGAATAAGTATATTAAGACAAATATATTTAAATTTAAAATCCACATTTACTCAAACTCAATAACCTATAGATAATTTACTTGTCTTAAACTATAACAGCCCACCAAACATGAAGCATGAGATTGTTTAATTCCATTTTCACCTGTAGAAGTTCCCCCTTTTTATACTAAAAAAGTCGCCTATAGGAATTACAGGACCCCATTAAATATATCACAGGCCATGGTACTGTGGAAGTAACAACAGTGAAAATTGCAAATAGAATAAGATTCGAAGTTTCAAAATCCAAATAGAATACTATACACGTAAGTAAAAATTGCATTGCAGATTAGTGCAGAGTTTAAGTTGTAGTGCTTAGGATTCTTAATACAAAATTGTATCGTGTACTAGTAGTCTAGTATACCTTATTCAGAGGAAGTAGGATTAAGCTAGTGGTAAGAAACTTGAATAGATAAATTCAGATACCTTTTTGCTTTCAATATAGATCTCTGAATCATTTAGGATAAAGGAATACTAACAAAGAATCTAGGCGATATTAAAACCTAAAACCTGGGTTTTATTTCCACAGTTTAACACAGTTGTCATGACTTGCAGAGGCAACCATTCTAGTGGCAGGAGACGGAGCCAAAGCAGATATGATATTGTCATGTGCAGGAATTGTCATGCTTTTGTTCTCTGCCATGTTCCATAAATCTAAGGACTACAGATCACATAAAAAAACAGTAAATTAGCAACTAATCAAAACATTATGATGCATAATGGATTGAAAGATCAACATGATTGTCCCAGCAAATGAGAAGGGTTACGTCTAACATCTTGTGACGTTTAAACATTTATTTCCCTTTTAGATAATTTGTTCTGCAGAAAATTATTATTTCCTCGATTTGCTAACCCCACCTCAAAGAAATGAAGGATGTTGCTAACTCATGTAAGATATATGATTCAATTCGTAATAGTTTAATCCATGTTAAGTGAAAGTGCACGAAAGGAAAACAAAAGCTACATTTAGTGTACATCATACCAGAATTTGCTTGAATATTAGGGGTTAATAAAATCAATCACTAACAAGCCATCATTGTTATCAAGTCAAAATTCCAATAAATGGTACCAACTTGTACAGTTATATATCTCACCTTTATTAGTAATGATTGTTAGGCAGTTAAGTGCCAGCAAAAGCAGAAGAAAAATAAGTGTAATGAAGATAAAAAGTTGCAGGGATTGAGTGGACAGAGGAAAAGATAAAGATAAAAAACAAATGGATTAGAAAAACGGTTGGAGCAGCACATATTTTGAATATGATAGAAACTTGCCCAAGGTGGTATGGTCAGGTGAAGGGATCAAATGAAAGATCTGATTATGAGTTAGCGGAAGATCAACTAAAGAAACATAAGGACCATAAACTACATTAATTTATTTAATTCCTGTTTTTTCATGGAAGATAATTGTGTCATTTAACAACCCAGCACAGTGGGATAAGGATGGGATGTTGTCTTTGGAGGATGAGATGTGTTGAGGATGTTCTACAGCATTACAGTGAATGGGTGCGGTTTTACAATGGATCTCGTGCATACAGTCCAAAAGTTTGGTTTTGAATCAATATGTCCATTATAGCAGACAATGAACAAAAAGCTTACCGAAATTCCTCCAATCACCAATAAAGTTGAATAACTTGGATGGAAAGTACAGGAATGAAATTGGTTCACGCCAGAGCCGAACTCCTGCATGCATTCTCCTGTGCCCAAATTCCAAACTTTCACCAAATGTGGACTCACAGATGCCAAGACATCACCATGAGTGTCCCAGCAAATATAGCTCACTGGTTCGGGATGACCCTACAAAGCCAAAGTTGTTTGACTACAATATTCATCAAAGATGCAAACCTTGAAATAAAAAGATCATATTGTTGCATAAGGTAACCAATTTTCAGTTCCGCCAACAAATGCTAGTGTCTCATCTGCCGGCTGATTAGCCTAGTTAATTTTTTATTTATCTGTAATATTCATTAAATAATCATAACTTTAACATGAAACTTAAAACAACACAAGTTACCCCCAACTTAATCCCAATTTAAAATTTATCACTTCATAATAAACAGTCAAATTGATTTTTGTCTAAAAGAGATTACATTATATTATTGATAAGCAAATATACATATAGATTTACCTGGAGGGAGTAAATTTGTGTATCAGCTTCAACATCAAAAATTGACACTACTTTATCAGAAGCTGCTGCCAGCAAATGTCCCAGTCTAGGTTGAAACCTCACTTGTGCACTACCTCCCTGAAACAAAGATGTGGATTACCTTGCAAAATAAAAATAGAACTTTTCCAGACATTTCTAATTTGTGGTCTAATTCGAAAACATTTTCCTTCAAACATAGGAATTACTAAGAGTAAAATTTGGAAAATAGAACCGATTGTAAGGGAAATACTTCAAGAAGTTATGCGAGGGCATCCCGCATTGCTGAATAGAACCCTACTCTGCATAGATTAGACATACAAGCATTCCAACCCATTTTAGTAGAAGGGCGTGCTATTTGTTTATATCCATTAGTTTGTAAGGGATTCAATGCAATTGTGAAATAATATTAGACAGGTGATAAATATTCAGAGAGGAAATGATAGAATTCAGTTACTCAACAAACCTTAGATACACGGGTGCAAGAGGACGAAGTAATGTTCCAATACCGAATTTCATTTTCACCATCACAGAAGCAGAAAATATCAGTCTTCTTAGGGTGGAAATCAAGAGACATTATAGCTGAAGTGTGCCCACTATATTGTTGCAAACAATAGCTTGGCTGCATTGAAAGAAAGAATAAAGAATTCATTCCAATCTGTAGAATATATAATTGCAAAACAAACTGACAGTCAAACACAAGGAACAAAGCTTGAAGAAGCCAGAATCTAGATGCAAGTTTTAAACAATAGTAAAGTTACACATAATTTATAGGAAAACAGGGAAAAGACTGTGTTACATTGGTTGCATCCCATAATCGCACTGATTTATCGATTGAGGCTGTTGCCAACTGAGATGAATTTGGTCTAAAACGGATATCTGAAATAACTGATTTGTGCTCTGCAGGAGTGCTCTCTGTCTGTAAAGTGTCCATGTTCCAGATGACAGCCTAATCCATAACCATAACATATTAAAATTTATAAGTTGAATGAAAATTTTCTCATAGCAGTTGTTTAGCAAACTAGATAAGCTTAGGCCAATGTCTCATGCTAAGCCATACCAATAATAAAACATCATTTATGTTCACAAACAAATCAAACACAATAGTCCTACTTTCTAGTTTCTATATAATACAATAAGAGAATTCATGAGAACATGAAAATACTGGTTTCATAAGGTGAAGTAAAAAGTGTTGCCAAAGGGAGAAGTTTGGGATGAAAAAATACTAATTTAGAAACTGTCGAGATTAATGTAAAATATATAGGGTAATATTGTAAATATGGTAATTGCATAATTAGTGTGATTCCAGATAACCGTAAATCATATATTTATTTGACTTATTATTTTAAATAGATAGCATTGTTGTATATTCAAAACACAAGGATTTATCTTATGCCCTCTCATTTGTCTCTTTCTCAACATAGTATCCAGAGCCTTGATGAGAGAGCAACCTTAATCCGTGCATTCTCAACAGGCATATTGCCCATTGACAAAATTTTATTCAGAAATTAGCACTTTCTGTGAGGTCAGTACTGTTCCACAATGCCAATGGCTGCTCGACCTCTCCAAGGATGAACCCATCATCTTTACAAACCATTTGACTGTTCTTCTCTCCATTTTTTATCTTGTCTTTTCTCATGTGACTACTCATCCATCTTGACATTCTCATTTCCACTACTCTCATTTTCCATTTTTTCATATTATTCCTTTAAGACCCAACATTCGCTACCATAAAACTTTCCTTTAATATCATATTGCAATACAATAAAATTTTTCCTTTTTGTTTGATAGGTATTTTACGATCATAAATAACTCCTAATGTTTTTCTCCACTTTAACCCCCTAACTTGTACTTTATAAGTAATATGTTCACTAATATTTCTATCATTCTATGATCCGAAGCATTTGAACTTGGAGACTTGTAAATAAGTGAGGTAATATTATAAGTAGGGTAACTATTTAATTAGAATGATTTTAGATACTTGTAAATAATGTATTTGTTATTATAAGTAGATAATTTTGTTGTGTATTCAAAACACACAAGTTCATCCTATGCCTTCTCATTTCCCTCTCAATAGAAACAAAGGCATTATACAGAGTAGGAAATTCCTTAGAAACAGAATGCTACTATTCAGGATGAAAAAAAAAAACTATAATGTTCACCACATTCCTTGAAGGTGGCAAACTATCATAATTATGCAAGTGAATTACCTTCATGTCATCTCCAGCACTGGCAAGCCACTTTCCATCAGAAGAAAAGTGACAACAAGTAACTTTACTGTTCCTTGTTCTTATACACCCAAACTCGGCAAAGGTGAAGCCTGAAATGAGGTTAATGATACTTCCCCGCAATACTTTACAGGTACAGAAAAGAGTTCTTGTAAAGAAGATTACCTTTCGGAGACTCTTTTTGTTGCTCAGCTGAACTTGGTTTTATTGTTCCATAGAGATTTCCACCATCTCCTCCATCATTTGATAGAAAGGATTCCACATTATCTTCTAAAGCACCAACATCCCCAAATCGTTCCATGTCCTCCTGGTTTATGAAATTACAATGTCATAAACTCAGAATAATTTGTTCAGCTCATAAATTCAACATCCCAAAAAACATAGGTACTCAAATGCTCTAATCATGATCAATTGTTAGCTACATTGGATTTTTCAATTAATTATAACTGAACTATATAACGATAGACCAATGATCTACAAGTACAAAGTATGAAAATATGCATACAGGTCAACAATCAAGATAGCTGTCGTACAAATTAAAGCAAATAAAATGTCCATAGAACACAATTTGTACGATCATATTAGACACATACACAAACTAAAATAAAATTACCTCCAATCCTATTTATAAGAAACAAATACCTAATTCATCAAGACTAATAAAAGATAGTTATATGTCATGAATTTATACTATATTCCAAAAATAACATAGTATTAAATGGTCAAAATACTGTGTTATATATTAAGTGAATAAATGTAACCACTTTCATGGATAAAGGGTGAGTACCTCATTAATAAAAATCTTACAATAAATATCACAATTAATGCTTTTGAAGAAGTCTGCATTTCTTTTAAATAGGACTAGAGGTAGTAATTACCAGCAAATTTGATGATGATGCAAGACCTCCTGTTGCCTCTGTACCATACATCATCATGCTCTTTTGCACACTATTAGCATGCTGCATGCTGCTTGCTGTATTTAATCCATCCCCAGGTGTATGCGTTGATGGTGGCGAATTAGGTGAAGGAACAGCAGTGTTACCACCAGTGCCAGTGCTATTGGCAGCTCCAGAAGAAGAATGCTGTTTTCTTTTTCTGTTAGTCTGATGACAAAGTAGGGGCAGTAAGTTAATTAGCTTTGAAATTGAAACAATTTTTTTTTGGGGGGGAGGGGGGGTTAGAGAATCAAAATATAAAGCCATATCAAAAATCTAATAGCAACAGCAGCACCTAATTCATCAAGGTAGTATAAAAAAAATAACATTGGATCCCTGTCCTCATCCATTCTCTAAACAGAAGAAAATAAAATAAAAATGATGAAACAGCAAAGGAAAAACACTTGTGTACACCTCGTTACATTCCATACAAAAACAGTGTGACATTAAGCACAACCTGCTGCAGTTGCTGCTGCTGCAATTGATCCTGCTGTTGAGATAATGAATGTTGCGACTGGGCCATCTTCATCTGGTACACCCATTAAATATTGAAAGAGATTAAATTGACCTCTGAGAGTATACTTTGTTGCAATTTGTATATTACAAGGCATATATTATCAACTCAGAACTAATTTATATGGCTTGCTTATAAAGCAGAGAATGAAGCTGATGAAAATAAAATGGTAATAACCTATTTGCCCTTGTTTTTCTGTTCAATTGGTAAGACCATCATGTCCACATTACTTAGGGGATGCATCTTTTTTCTAAATCAACATATCATGAAGGAAATAATCTATAATAGCATACTACAACCACTTGGTGACAGGAAAGGCCAAGTAGGCACTTTTGGCATGAAATTTATCCACTTCTCACATTGAGAATTTAGAGAAATCTATTGTCACAGGTAAAGACTTTTATGTTTTAAGTGACTCGCCAGTTTTTTATTATTTTGGAATCTCAAGGGTGTGGAGCCTCTTTGGTGCCTTTTCTGTTTCTGGAAACTTTAATTTTCGATTCTTATAAAGTCTTGATATTCTAATTTTATAAAGTCTTCATATCAATGATTTCCGGATTCTGAAGGCAACCAGTCAAATAATTCTGGAGCCAGTAGTGTACAGAAGAGGGGAGAACCAAATTCTTAATGATAATTTATAGTGCAGGATCTTAAAAGATCATCACATATATTCATACAATAACTTAGACAAATAAATGCTAAATAAGACATTTGTTGTGTTGGAAATTGTGAAAGTGACAAATATGTTAATGGGAATTATGTACTAGTGGAAATATTAGAGTCATAGGAAATAGTTGAATTCTTCGTTAATGCTTTTGTAAAGGTAAAATGTATTTATTCTTTTATGTATAGAAGTATCAAGGATGTTGAATGATCTCACTCATGCAATTCATAGAATTAAGATGATAAAGAAGCAATTCAAAAGAGTAATCCCCCTTTTAAATCCTTTTTGCATCATCTATGTCTGCTGAGCTTAAAGACATTATACATGTTGAACCAACATTGATATACCTATACTGAAATAATTTTTAATTTTTGAGGAGCTAGTCCAACCTTAGGTGAATCTGACTGCATTTGGGAGCAAGTAGATCCATCATTCCTTGTAGACTGAACATCCTTTGCACTTAAGCTACCTCGGGGAAGACCAGAAAGTCTACGTTGATCCATATCACCATAATTTGAATTTCCAAGGTTATTTTGTGCCTGAGCCTGTGCCAAAACCTGTTGTTGTGATGCCAAAAGAAACTGGTTTTGGGTTGTCAAATTGGGCTTTGGAACTTGTACACCCATATTAGGTCTTAGCTGATCAATTCCCTGCAAAAGGGAAAGGTCAAGTGGTCAACTATTATACTCCAAAGGAGTTTAACAAACTTCAGAGAAACAGCATTGAGGAGGATAACATTCAACTTACAGTTAGAGGCCAACCCTTCAGTGGAAGACTTGTAACTCCTTGATTTAATGCTGAAGGATAATTAACAAACAAAATCATAACAATCATTAGAATGACTCCACCATGTCTGATATTCTGTGCTAAATACTGAAGACAAATTTAAGAAGCAATATAATGCAAAGCTGTGAGGGATATCTCTGCAGGAGATTAACATTGAAACTACAAATAAAACCCACAGTCTCAATGCATGTCAGAATCCATTATGGAGTTGCAATGATCACTTTTACTAAGAGTTCCATCATCACTAAAGATATGTCGGGAATCATAATTTTAAACTAGCGAAAAAAATATTATCAAGAAAATTAACAAAAAATAAGTGTCTTTCACCACAGAAAACATAGAAGGCCACATGAAGCAGCACTCTGGCCCTCTAAACCACAGCAATGTACAGAGAAAGAGAGATGAAAAAAATGAAAAGAAAAAGGACAAGGAATGCAGTCAATGCACATAGATATTTCAAATAGTTCACCTATAAAATAAGAATTGGTATCATGAAGACAGAAAATTAATGCTATTCATAGACCATAAAATGTAGAAATTGGATGTAACAACATCAAGGTAGACATGGTAATACTACCTGCACTTCCTAGCCCAGATTTTGATTGTAAAATTGCTTGTCGATAAACTGAGGAATCCATAGGCAGACTCTTTGGAGTGGCACCTATATTAACTTCTGCTTTGATATCCTATAAAGTTAATGCATTAAGTTGCTTATCATGGTAGAGGTGAAATTAGGGAACTTGAAATAGTAGAAATAGCACATTAAATGGCTAACTTAGCATATAGTTGAAGTAGTTACAGTGGTCAGAGGAGTCCACCCTGGAATTTGCTGCAACGCAGTGGACATATTCCCTGAATTTCCATGAACCAACTGGCTGAGGGAGCAAAAAGAATCCAAAATATTAGCATTCCAATCCATGTTGTTAAGATCAAGTTAAAAGTAATACTCTAACTGGCAAATTTGTTTACCCTTGATGACTAGCTGCTGATTTGAGAAGGGCCATCCTGTTGGCGTCAATAAGAGTTGGAGATGCCTCTGAATCCATTGAATGAGGGTGTTTCATTCGTTCTTCATACATTTTCATGGCCAACACACTTGCTGGTGGCTGCCCCAACATTCCTTCAGAATTCATGGCATTTAAGGAACCACCAAGTGAAGGATGATTAGGGTCTCTTCTCTGTAATTGAGCTGCACTGCGTTGCTGCATTATTTGCAATTGCTGCATTTGAAGATGCTGTTCTCTAGCCTTTGTTTGCTGGGTCTATCAACATGCAAATTACATATAAGATTCAGTTTGCTATCAATATTTACAATAACTAAGGAACCAAAAACATAAATGTTACATGATAAATTCACCTCAATGTAAGCTGCAGCAGCCTCTGAATGTTTCTCATTTGTCCTTGAGATGAATATATCCCAAAAGACAGACCACCACTCGAAAAGAAATCCTCCAGGAGCATCAATTGCTGTCAAAGACCAAGCAATAGAACTTACATATATACTCAATTGTTCCACTGCCTCCCGCATATATCTATCTTAAATAATGTCCATTGAATTTGAACAATAAAGTTTAAATAACAGGCAAGATTTCGTTAGAAAAGAGAATGAAATAGGCACAAGGTCATGGGATGAATTAATCTCCCAGAGGAAACCAATTCTATACAAGTTTAACAAAGAAAGACACCCCCCCCCCAACAAAAAAAAAAAGCAAAACAAAACTGATAATAAAGAAACATTTTAACTTAATTCATAAAACCACAGTGGTGCGAGGCAAGTTACAGCACAACATTGTAAAGAATAAGCACCAATCTTACCTACTGGATCCGTGGAAACTTTTCCTTCTGCCATAAAAGCTTTGGCGGCTGTGTTTAATTTTCTTTTTATTAAATAATCATAAATGTAAACGTCGAGCCTGAAGCACAACATAAAAATCCAAGAAGGGAATAAACATCAATATAACATGTTTCATAAGATCGAATAAGTCAGGCTCAATCACGGAAAAGAAAAAGGAAGAAGAATAAGAAGAAACAAAGAAGGGAAAAAAAATAAAAAGCCAAACATCTAGCAATTGCACACATTTTATCAGCTTCCCAATTACTCTGATTCTGAGCCATAGTGGACTTCATTTAAACAAACCAAATTTCCGAGAGAGACTTGAGATCTTCCCTGCAGAGAAGGAACAACATGGTTTTAGGAACCTTTAAGTATAAAAAGCACCCATAATTCAGACAATTCAACTCCATACAATTTTTTTCCCTTGTTCAACTAAAACTTTTAAATGCTATGGTGAATTGAACCTTCAGAATACTTAACAACCTTACATCCAAAAGGAAAAACAAAAAAAATCCTTTCCCCCTTCTAATTCGCTCTAATTCTCGTAAACATTACGGTACAATGCTAAAAACACTATCAAATTACAAAACTAGTAACGTTAACTTTTACAATTGAACAAGAAGGTGAAATCATACCAGTTCCTCGGATCAAAGCACACCACAAGATACGCACCACGCAGATACCTATCACGCCAACAAAAGCAATAAGCATGATTTTCAATTCAACAGGAAGCCGTAAAATAACATTTTAATTTTTAATTTTTTATACAATTCTTACTATGGTATTGGAGCAGGATTGGCATACAATGAAAGTGATCAAAACCACTTGAGAGAGAGAGCGAGAGAGCAAATAATTAAGCACGTATTTACCAATTTTCTCGCGAAAATTGAGAAGAAAAGAAAAAGCGTGGAATGGTATGAGTGTGAGTGAAGTGCAACAACCCACACGTCGCGCAGGTGGAGAGAGAATCGAGGGAGAGAGATATTTAGAATGGAAACGCCCCGGGGTTAACAATAAAAGTTTGAGCAAGTTTATTTCCACATCCACCGAATATACACCCTATATATAAATAAAGGGCAAAAAAGATAAAGAGAAACAGAAAAATAAAGAGACAGAAGAATCAGAAGAAGCAAGAAAGATAAAGCAAGAAAAAGAGGATGTGATAAAAAAAGCAATACTAAAACATAATAAAGCATAAAAAAAGTTGGAGATGATTAGTTAAGTTAATTATACTAAGATTTTTTTTAAAAAAAATAAAATATTTTATTTTATTTTACCTATTAAATTTGAGTTTTATTTTTGGATAGAAATATTTTTTGAATTATTTTATCTTTACTATATAACACTATTTAAGTATTTAAAATTTTTTAGTTAACTTTTATTTCTTTCAAATATTATTCATTTGTTTTAATTTTAAATTTAAATTTGATTTGATTTAAATTTTACATCCTAGTATATTGTATTTAATAAAGATATTTTTGTTATCTAAATAAAGAAAATTTTTAAGATTACAATAATCTTAATCAGTTTTAATTTCAATTTTAAATGTGAACATACAATATTAATAAAAAACAAACGAGATTTTAAAATCCAATCTTAATTAATATTTTGAATTATGGATTTTTTTATAATTATTTTTTATAATAAAAAGTTTACCACTTTAATTTAGTCTTATTTAATACAATAATATATTTTTTAGTAATATTAAAAATTATATTTTTTTAATTTATATTCATTAAATTTAAAAATAATTATATAATATATATTCAACATTTTATTAAAAAAATACCTTTAATTGTAGCTCTGGTAACTGGGTACTTTATGAATTTATTCTCTTTCATGATACATTATTTTTAATAAAATATATTATTTCTCTACGATATATTAGTTTTTCACATTCAAATTATATATGATATTTGTCCTTTTAATATGAAATAACATCTATTTTGAAAGAAAGAATAAAAATGAAGGAAAAAAAAAGTCAAATTTTTTTCAAAAAAGTTTTACAAAATGTTATTATTTTATAAGTTTTTTCTCAACATATTTTTTTATATAAGTCTTTGTGATGAAATTAAATTCTAGCACAAGGGTGCAATCTTCAATTTTTACACCCTTTTTCATGCACAACTCAGTTATCATAGTGTCATATAGTAAGAATATCTTCTTCATGTAACATTATTTCTTTAATTAAATAATTTCTTATTTTAAAAATACAAATATCAATATAATATGATTAAAAATAAGTAAAAGATAGATAAATATGTATAGAAAATTTTTGTGTATTATAAAATCTGAATTAATAAAAATGAGTAAAATTTAAAATTATATATATATATATATATATATATATATATATATATATCGTTCGTAATAGAATTAAGGATGAAATTTCAAATTTGTAAATGTACAATTAAAGAAAATTTAAAATGTTATATTAATAATTAATTTCTAAATATTACACATGTACTTTGAATTATCATTTAAATAATACATATTATAAATAACATTGAATGGAAACTCAATCAATATTATTATAGTTTTCCTAATAAGTTAAATCCTACTGAACAGTTCCTTTCCTACTATCTCTTACGAGTATGATCCTAAAATAGATCAATCTTCTTTTATGTCTTCATTACTTGAAAAAGTTTGTAAGAGTGAACATTCTTCTTTCCACTAAAATTTTTATTATATAAAATAATTGAAACAATGCAGTATATGTAACAAAATAGAAATATTTCATTTTCAACAAATTTTATCAAACAAAAATTATCTATATACATTACTCATCATTTAACCATACACATTCCAACCCAATCAATTTCAACTCTTAAACTCGTATCACTTTATTCATACAGTCCAAGAATATATTATTAGAGATCACACTCTCTCGGTCTTAATAAAGTCTTCTAGCTTAAAGTTTAGCATTTTTAACTTTCTCATCATTCAACCCATATATTATTCAAAAGGTAATAACTATGATTTTAAACAAATCAAAAACCTTTTTTTTTATATAAAAATCCATTTTCATAATACAGTTTCAAGAAAACTTTATGAATTTGCTATTTAGAATAAGGTAACTTTGTTCTTTCAAGATTAATATACATATTTAGATAGAATCTAGGGTTTAGGAATAACTCCCCTTACCTGGAAATGAATCTCTAAAACTAAGTTCTTCGTGGACTCTAGAGAGAAACTCCACTCCTTGACTAGAAACACTACCCCAGGACTAAAGTTCTTCCTAACATCATAGGGTAGATTACTATTATGAGAAGAAAGAACAGAGAAATAGGAACGAGATTTGAAGGCTAGGCTCCAGAAACTTACTTAGATTCAAATGGGATAGATGGTTGAGCTCAAATCTAAGAGAGATCCAAAGTTATTAGAGACTTTCTCTAGGAAGGGCAAGAATAGAGAGAATAGAGAGGAAGAAGTGGTTTTGGTGAAAAAAATGAAATTTCTTAACATGGTTTCTCTTAAATACCCTTCAAACCTGCACATTCTCGCTTGAGTGAGCCAAACTTTTGCCTAAATAAGAAAACCAGATAGTGAAACTACTCGATTTTCTACTATTCTCGCCTGACTGAAAGACACTCTTGCTTGAGCGAGCAGCATCTCACCCGGGCGAAAGGCATTCTCGCTAGAGAGCTTCTTATTTTTCCTACGACTTCTCGCTTAGGCGAGCTGCTTCACGCCTGAGCGAGACTCCTTCTCGCCTAGGCGAAAGGATAATTGGGGTAACTTTATCCTATCTCGCTTGAACGGGAATGCTCTAGAAAGTCTAGTTCAAAAATATCTGTCTCACTTGAGCGAGACATATCTCGCTTGAATGAGAATACCAAAATTCCTATTTTTTTTCAAAAATAAGAGAATAAAAATGGATTTAATCCCCTCACCCCGCTTGATTTATTGTCACTGCCTAATGTTTCATTTTTAATACACAAGGATGGCAATGCCAAAGCTAAATTTGTTAGAAAGTTGCATGAAAAGGTGAAGGCTCAAATTGAAAGTAAAGTGGAACAACAAGCAAAAAGAAAGTGGTATTTGAACCCAGAGACTGGGTTTAGGTACACATGTGTAAGGAGAGGTTTCCTGTGCAAAGAGAGTCAAAGTTTCAACCAAGAAGGGATGGATCATTCTAAGTTTTAGAGAGGATCGGGGATAATGCATACAAAGTAGACTTACTAGGTGAATATTGTGTTAGTACTACTTTTAATGTATCTGATTTATCCCTCTTTGATGTAGGAGGTGAAGAGTCAAATTCGAGGACGAATTCTCTTGAAGAAGGAGGGGTTGATGAGAATCAAAGCAGGCCTATTGAAGACAAAGGCTTGAAGACATTAGAAGGACTTTAAGGACCAATGACAAGGGTAAGGGCAAAAAGAATAAATGGAGACTTAGAATATATGGTTGCTGTCCTATTTGAAAGAGAACTTAATTTGGAGTTAGAAGAGTCCAAAATGGTTAATTGCATATGCTCAGAAAACTTAGACTCCAATGAGTTTCATTAGGCTTTAATTTTCATGTTTTTTTTATTTTAATATTAGTTATTACTTATTTTGAGTTTTTATTTAGAATAGAATCTTGTTATTTTATTTATTTTATTTAAGTTTGGGTTATTGCCACAAAAGGCTCGTTAGGGTTATGGTTATGTTGGTTTATGAGTGTTAGATATATATATATAAGCTCTTGTAAACACACTTTTAAAGAGTGTTGAATACAATTTGATATAGAACACTCTTGCGAGAGCGTGTGACTCTAGGTTCTTAAGTTAGCTAACTTTCTTTCATTTTATCAAGAGGTCAAGACTTTTGTGACGATCATCCCTTGACTTATCAATCTTGTCTCTTGACTTATTAATCTTGTGATTGTGACACCATTTTTTCATCTCTATTCTATTTTCACTTTTATTAATTATCTTTTGGTTTCAATTCCTATTTGTGCCCTAATAATTTTATTTTTATCGTGTGAATTCTAATTCAAGTTTGTTTAATTCGGCAATACGTATTGTGATTGTCATCACAATGACTATTTCATTTAGAAATACTAAATGTCAAAACTTGATCATAAGTATTTAAAACATAAGTTGATCATAAGTATTTAAAACATCAAACTTGCACTACAATCTTCATTGACAAGGACCTATATATCTTTAGAATGATTGTGCTTCAATAATAACAAAATCCTTATATTAGAGTGTATTCCAAAAGCAATGAGCACGAGAAAAACTGTAATAAGTTTCCACCAGAATTATCACAGTTAGACAATGCATACCAACAATATTACATGTATCCCTACAACCATTTGCACACATTACTCTACAAGTGTTCCAAATCAACATATCAAAATATTTAAATCCTATTATTAAATATATAAATTTAAAAAGAACAACAAATTGACTATACATTATATTAGTGGTATCACAACTATAATTTGTGAAATCTCATGGTTGGGTCTTACATCAATTTCCAACTCTATGAAACTCTCCATGGTTATAAGCTTCACTTATCTTAGTATTTAAGAATTTAAATTTATTTCTTTTCACCCAAATAAGATTGTCTTGAAGGAACGCCTCATTGGATTTTTTAAGTTCCTTATTCAACTCTTTACCATAATTCTCAACACTTAGGAATCGGTCTTCTAACTTATCCATACTAGTTGTTAATTTAGTTTTGATTTTGATGATTACTCTACCTAACCCATATTTGAGGACTTTGAGTTAAGTTTTGGCGCTCCTTTTCAAACTCTTTTCCTATCAACGTTTGTCATCACCTTCACCATAGGTCTTGTGTAACACCTTAAGTTTAATTTCATTAAATATCAAATTTCAGAAAAATGGGAGAGAATAAAATTTTATTGAAATAACTTTTCCCATACATGGTTTATTAAAATATTTCAAAATAAGGATGGTTACAATTTGCATCAAATCGTTGCTACAGAACTTAATGAGTACATCAAATCATTTTCAAAATAAATTCCTAAGTCTTATAGCAGTTTCATCCATCCTTCACTGAGTCTGGTGCTGATCGTCTTGGTCACCTGAAAAATAAATGTTAGGGTGAGTACTCTACACTATCTAATACACACAAACATAGAGACTCACCTCGGTCACCTTTCACATAATTTCTAATATAGTCACATAAGTATAATCAATCACAAATAATATTTTCAATGTATTTCATTTCAATTCATGACCGATGCACTCACGACACCAAAACATTTTACACACGTGCACATAGTCACGCTCACTGTGGTACTGTGATCACAGATTTACATCATGAATGGTCGCTGGTTATCCTCGCATCACGGATACCATGTGCATGGTCACGAGTCGCTCGGCAAAGGTAGTGGTTAGAGGTCTAGTCAAGAGGAGAGTGCGTGGCCTGTGGTGCACTCACGCTCATTGTTGGTGTCACCATCACTCTCTCTTCCCCAAGGTATTTCTACCGTTCTCATCTTCCACACCTTCAGTGTATCGTTGAACCATTCATAGCATTATTACAACAGCGTCAAACAGGCCCTATTCACACACATTTTTAATTACACACAATATTCATATTCGTATACGGCACACATTGCCCACATTTATCTACAACACATAGCACACGACCTATATTCATTCATATTGCACGACACTCAGGCCCATACTCATTTACAACACACGGCACAAGGGCCTATATTCATTCGCTTTACATTCGACGCACAACATTTCCAGCTCATACACAATAATTCCTGTATAATCTACATTCCTCAATGACAGATAAACACACTCATTCACGTTCTGCATCAATTCCTCATCCAAATCTATTTATAATAGGGTCCAACATCATCAAAATCACATCCAACATGCATTATCTATCAAAACACACCAATTCACTTGTTCTACCTCAATCACATTACTAAAACATAGCATGTAAATGGATTTCTAACCAAATTGAGATCCTCGGCTTGAAGACCACACGAATCAACGATGAAACAGAACCCCCACACAAATCTCATCCCTAAAACACATGGGAACCCATGAGAACTCAAGGAGAACCCAAAAAACAGAGAAGATGGACGAAAATCAAAACCCTAACCATTAAAACTCACCTCCAAACGTTTCTAACACGAATTCAACCTTCAATCTAACTCACGAACGGCTTTGGAGGCAATTTAATTGGTAAGAATGGCTTGGGAGTCGAGGGAAATGAGAGAAAGTTCAAAGGGAGAAGTAGGAAATGGTTTTTCCCCAAACTCTAACCCCTCAAATACCCCTCTGGTCGCGACACTCTCGCTACAACAAGATATTCTCGCTACAACGAGGTCCCCCTCTCTCGCTACAATAGCAGAAATTACACTCTAGTTTCTACAGAATCTCGCTACAATGAGGCCCTCTCGCTACAGCGAGATTGTACCTAGAAATGCACCCTAAACTGTCACTCTCTCACTACAGCGAGAAGGAAACAATTTCACGCCTTCCTCCCACGGCCCTCTTGATACAACAAGATATCTCTCGCTGCAGTGAGAACACCCTGTACCAGACACTTAGCCAAGTTTGATCAACAATTCAGCCATAGTCCAATATTCTCAGTATACACACATACATATATATACACTTTTATAATCGCATATTTATCCATATGCAATCATACACATCATCATACACGTAAATCAAACAATACAATCACATGAAAATACACACATACACTTATATTAACATATTATAATATTATTACAAAAAAAATTTGAAATGTTACATCTTGTAATGAACATAGCTTATTACATGATGGTATTACTAATTAATAATGACGATATGACTTTTTTTTTTTTTTGCATCATTATTGGTCTTATTGATATTGTTTTCATTTTTTACTCGCACTTGGAATCTTAATAAAATCATCACAATATAACATATCTTTATTATGATATGTCTATTTTTTATTTTCACAAATAACTAGAGTCTCACTGTGGCATAGAAATCTCACCATTACTTAATTTTGAGAAATTTACTTAGCCATTAGAAATTAGGAGCGATTCACTGCTCACTAGTTTCAAACTTTTTTTGACAATGTTATCTTCCATTGTGAAGACACCATAGGGTTTGAAGGAATTGTCTTATCTAGGTATGGACATGATTGAACAACATGGCCACACTTGACCATATTGTGGGTATATCATATAAATGCCCTCTTACTCAAATTGAAATGAATGAGCTCTTAGCCAAACATTTTCAACAACTAGATCGAACAAATCAATTTCTATACATTCTTTTGTAAACTTTTCTCTAATAACATTCAATGTGTTTGTATTTATCATAATAGATTTGCCTACTATTAAAGCTATACCATGATAATACTTTTTTAATAAAATTCTAATCCTCAGTCTAGGAAGTGAAATACAAACCAAGATTTTATCTATCTTTTCTCTAGAGAAATAAATCCTAGAGTCTATGATATCACAACAAGGTAGAGATCATATATCATTCATGGGCGTCTAAAGACAACATCCCCTCAATCTTCTATTATAAAAAGCTTCATCACAATGTAATCACGTCAAGCATGTGAAAGCTACTCAAGAGCAATCATGAACTTTATGTTCTTTTTAAGCAACTTAATAATCAACGATTCTCTTTCAATAGTCTATGAAGCTTCACATAAACTTAAATATCATTAAAGCACTTTAGTAAAACCTATTATCATTTGCATGCTCAACTTTAAAAAATTAATTTCTACTAAATTTACCTTCCTTTCACTCTTCATGTCTCTTCTACATACAACCATGTCTTTGAACAAATTAACATTTGATCCAATTCACTTGTTCGACTGTTTCAATTTGTGAGGCAAAGAACTTGCACGACTAAAGCACTCCATGAAACATTTTAAAAATGATAACCAAACAATAAATAAATAATATGAAAAAAAAATTAATATATGTTATGATCATGGAAAGGGATACAACAAATTTAGTAATTAATAAAATATAATTTTCTTTTTTATGCTTAAAAAAAGAATAATAATTCTTTTTTAAAATTTTGTTTGAGAGTTATATTTAAAAAGAAAATAGAAGAAAAAATTTTATTTTATAAAAAAATTATTTAAATTTTTTATAAACCATTCAAAACTTTCATAAATTCATATATTTAAGTTTTTAAATTAAAATTTATTTTTGTTAACTTTCAAAACTTTCTTTCTTTTACCTATAAATTCTTGACTTTTCTCACTCTTCAAACTCTTAAATAGAGCCTTAAAAGAAAACAAAAAAGATTTAAGTCTAGTTTAGATAAAATTATTAGATAAAATGTTAAATAAATCTTTATTAGAAAAACATTATTATAAAAATAAATAAAAATTATCTCATAAATTAAAAATAATTTAAATTTATAAATTTATAAAAGTTAAATAAAAGAGCTATTAAAAAATATAAATTATAATAAAATTTTTATTATTTTTTAGCCAAACTAAACCTTAATTTAATTAACTTGAGTCGCATATGGCACACGTGTGGGTCTTGCCGGCTTAATATTTATGATTCCCTCTGCTGCTCCAGCGGAACTCTATTCCTCTCAACTTGTAGTTGAATTTCTCTCTGCCATACTCGCTTCAGTTGGAAACTTCGCTTGTCCCCTTCTCATTCAAAGCTCCATAGTCTCATGCCATTCTCTCTTCGCACAGCCACCAACCATCCCCACCCTACATCATGGAACCTTCTAGAACTCAAGGAATCAACAAAACCCATTAATCAAAAACCGATTTTGAGGAGAGTGGTGACCTTCTCTTCTCTCAGAACCTCCCTTGACTGTGTTCCCGATGGAGGGGTCGACAAAAGTTCAAGACCCACTTCGCCAATTCGGCTTCCCTTCGTGGTTAAGAGTTCCACAAAGGTTTCTAGATTCTTCTGGAACGGGAACTGCTTGCAGATTGTGAGTGTTGATGGTGCTGCTGCGTCTTCTGAGGTGGGTTTAGATGATAGGTTGTTGAGGCTGTGTGGTTCTTTTGTGAGGGACTTCTTCATTCCAAGACAGGTCACGGGAAACTACGTCGACTATGTGAAATGGAAGCTTTTGCACCGTGTTTTCAGTTCAGCTCTTCAAGTTCTTGCCACTCAGGTAATCTCTTCAGGTTGTTTGTTTTTGGGGTCTTTTGTTCGAATTGGAACTGTTGGTGGGTTTCAGTTGTTATGCCAATTATTTTTTGTTTCGTGTTATGGGTCCTTTTGGGTAACAGCTTGATTAAGTGCTTATATAATGAGCTCTTTTTGCATAAGGAGTTTATACTATAAATTTGATCTTGGAATTTATTGGGCTGAAAAGAGCTTATTTTGATAACATATATGAAGAAGTTTATTGAAATAAGTTGAAAATAGCTTATAGAAGTCATAAGTTATTCATAAGTTAAAAAGAGTTTATATGGGTTTCTTTGCTTTTGAAAACTGATAGTCCCTTGTGTTTTAATTATTGTGGAAAAAATTCAAGCTAGGTTTATCGGTTTGTTGCCATGTACTGTGCATATCGATATTATTGGGGTGAAACAGAGAGATTTTTTTTACCTTTTTATGTGAAACACCTGTTTGTTTTTTAACATTGATAATCCCTGATGCATGAATTCATGTGGGAAAAATCATACTTGGTTTTTCAGTCTGTTGCCTTGTGCTGAGAATAATATCATCAGGGTGAAAGAGAGGGATTTTTTGTTTTGTCTTATTATGTAAAAGACCTGTTTGCTTTTTGAAAATTGACAATCTCTGGTGCATGAATTTTTGTGGAAAGAATTCAAACTTAGTTTATCAATCTATTGCCAGGTGCTAAATAGGTTTCTTTGTATCATTATCAAATAATGACTAATGAATGTGTTGTAAAATTTCTCCTCTTTTAAGCTATGGTGAAAGTTCTTCCAGTTCTCACTGAAGTGGTTTGTCTTGCATACGAACTTACTATGTTACAATGATTGATCTCAGGCAATGTTTATGGCCATAGGAATTGGATACTCCAGTTCCCTTCCGTCAGCTGCTGCCCTTAATTGGGTCTTGAAAGATGGTCTTGGACGACTAAGCAGATGCATTTACACTGCTAGCCTAGCATCTGCTTTTGATACGAATTTAAAGGTATTTTAACTTCCATTTTAAATGAATCAATTTTTGTTAATGTGCAATTACTAATGATGTATCTTGGCATTTGATTTAAAATCACCCGAACTTCTTGGTTCCTGCAGTTTGATAATTGAAACTGCAGTTTGATATGTACTAGTTGAAATCTGATGATTCTTTCTCTTCCTCTTTTGGTACCTGCTGTACAAAAAGAGGGTCAGGTTCACTACATCTGTTCTTTTTGTTGCAAGTATTGGACTTGAGTTACTTACTCCTGCATTTCCTCGATGCTTTTTGCTTCTTGCAACTATTGCCAATATTTCTAAACAAATAAGCCTGGCTTGTTACTTAGCAACTCGGGTAAGGATCATATCTCTATAATGTTTTCTTGTTTTACAGCCATTCATTGTATGATGTTATACTTTTAAGGGAATTTCTTTCCTTTTTCTCTTGAATATGGAATGTTTCTGAGGTGAAATAGTCCACACAAGTTGTTATATAAGAAAATAAGTTGTATGACAGAAAAATAAAAAAAAATAAAAAGCTATGTTTTAGGTAGGCATTTAATTTATTAAACATCCCGAATATGTGGTATGAAATGATGTAACAATGTGAGGATGGGGAGTTAGAAAGGAAGATTAGCAAGGGTCGTTAATGAAAGGAATGTTCAACTCTCCTGCTGCCAACATAAATAATTCATTAACTCATGTTGTATTGTTCCTTATGATAGCAACTCTTGCAAGTCCAATCAGCATGTATAAAATTCAGTGATTTGGTTGCTGTGTGTTATATCAGTGGATTTCACTGTCATTAATAGACTTTGTACAAATCATACCAATATTCTGCTTGCATATTCTCATTGTGTGCTAACCATAATTAGGTAATAGAAATATGTTACCAAATATGTGAATGGTGCCTCCAAAGTTGTCAATTTTCCTTAGAGCTCTGGATTTCTCTTGATAGATAACTTGTTGCCATACTGATTGCTAGTTTCGTTGCTGTATGTAGCTACTTAAATTTTACTGTACAAACTTGTAATCCTTATTCAATATTGGATAAAGTACTTTTGACAGCATGATCTGCCCACTTTTCTTTCTATTTCATGGTTGTATAAGATTTACTTTTTCATGTATCATAAGTTCATCAGTAGAGGACGTGTCTCACCTCATCTGTATTGTAATTGATACGCATGTTTGACCTGTGAATTTTGGTATTTACTCTCTGTTAAGTAGTCAGCTGTTCATCAAAGTTTTGCAATAGGAGACAACCTTGGTGAAATTTCTGCTAAGGCACAGGTGAGCATGACATCATTTCTTTTCTTTCTTTATATGTTTCTTAAATGGATTGTACTATGATTTTTTTATATGTTTCAGATTCAAACAGTGTGCTTTGACATCCTTGGTCTGATGCTTGCTGCACTTGTTAATCTGTGGATGGAGAACCATCAAAGGTTGTTATTTACCTACACTATTTAAATGTTATTACTATTATTTGTTGTACAAGACTATAAGGTGGCTAAGCTGTGGAACTGAGAGCTGACTGCAGTGTATTTTACCTGTAGAATTCAATAACCTTATCTATAAAAAGAGAGGAGCTTTACATGATGTTACATAGCCAATGTTTATGCTTAATACTTTTGGTAATACATGCTATAACTGGCTTTTGTTATCATGTAAACTTGATTAGGTCTATGATATTTTTTTGTAGTTTTTAGTGGATAAATAAATTGTCTTTTTTTTTAACTTGAGTTATTTGCTGGCTTTCAAGACAACAAGCAGGTGTCCATTACTTTATTTATCCCTTTTTTGCTGCTATGGACCTTCTTGGGATTTATCAAGGACTCCATCATGTCCATCTGCAAACCTTGACTAAGGTATGTTTTCTGATGTAGATTAAAAATTTTCTAATTTTATATTTTAGAGACAAACTGAGTAGCTGAAAGTGAGAGAGAGATGAGTAATTTTGCAAACAATATTTTTTTTTCTGAATTTAACATTATAAACATAAAGTGTGATGATATTCAGGATATCTGCACTTTTAGACTAGTATGAAGAACCCAGTTTTAGATGTGCTATTATTAGTGACACATTAAGGGGGAAAATATTTATTAATGAAGTCATCATATGTTGCTCAAGTCTTGTTCTTTTCGATATTTCCTTCTTATTTGCTTGCTTATATATGATAAATTCAGTTGCATTTCTTATATAACTGAACTTGGGTGAAGATTCTCTTTTCTTCTCTTGGGAAACTGCCTTCTAGAAGTTAGTCAAAGAGGTCCAAACATAGTAGAACGAAAAGAAATGAAGCAAGGCCATGCTGCCCAGCCCCTTTAATATTTTGTTTTAGAAAATCATCCATTTTCTTTTTCTTTTTCTTTAAAATCTGCCTTTTATTTTGTGGCATGGAACTTTTGTAGAGATTATGTAGTTTACTGTCTTGTCCGCATGTTATTGTTTTAGGATAGGCTTGAAATTATTCTGAACACTTGGATTGAGGGGGGATATGTGCCCTCCCCTGCAGAGGTGAGTGAGAAAGAAGGAATTAACTTTCTGGGAGCTAAAGGTGCTATGCTACTGACTCTTCTATTTCTGTTTAATCCTATCCAACTTGGGTTCTATATTGATGAGCATCTAGTCAAATAATAATGTTCAATTCAGGTAAAAACTTGTGGCCTATTAGAATAGGGTGCTTAAATCCCAAGGACCAAATACCCAAGTGGTCAATGAAGACAATACAATGTATAACCAATGAGGATTATTACTTTGTATGCATGGAAATCTATAAAGGATTAAAAAGAACCGTGCAGGTGAGCATATGATAGTATCTTGGTGGACCCATTCTTCCTCATAACTTCCAATAAAGTAGTCTTTCCTAATTGGTTTTATTTTGCTTGTTTCTTTTGGTGGTAACCATCTAGCCTCGCATCCTTCTTTCCATACGTGAAGGAGCTGAACCAGTCCATATAATCATGGGATTGTTGCAGGTTACATGACTATTCTCTTAATGGTTTTCCTAATGTTATGATAAACTATTCTAAAGGTTACCTAACCTGAAGCAGCATTGCTTATTCTAAAGATCTTTGGACATGACACTGATTTTTAAAAAAAATTGATGTTTAGGCTTGTTACATCAGAAGGAAACTTGTGAAAAGTAGTATATGGGAGATTGGTGTCATGGAAAGCAACGCATCAGACTCAACAGCGGAGGATTGGTCTGTCATTGTTGAGGATTGCAAGAGGTATGCGGAAAGGGATCTGTCTAATTTGATTGAACAATTGCTGGGAATGGGTTGGGTGGTGAAGAGCATTTTATTGTCAACACAAGAGCAAACTCGATACAGTTTTGTGTGTGATTAAAGATTCTTATCAAATTTTGATTGGCTCCTTAATTCAATGGGAGTGTTTGGGGATAACCATTCATTTTAAATATTAAACTAAAGAATGTGTTAAATTAAAAGTCAAAATTGTGTAGTACATTCATAGCTTTCATTTATGTTGGGATGGTATGTTTAATGCCATGCATTGAATATGTAATAATGAATACATGATATGTAGAAACTCTTGAAATGTATATACGTAATGGGCCGTTATCACATTGGACGACCATCCTACCTTATATTCCTAGGGATTGCTTCTTGCACCTCTATTTTTTTTCTTTTTACACCACAATATTTTTTTTCTTCTTAAAATGCCCCTAATAAGAATTTAAATTATTAAATATGAAATAAAAATATTCTTTTTAAAACTAAATAATTCCTAAACTTCTCTACTTTTTGGAAATAAATTAATGTCTAAATTTAATGTTTTACACTTTTGGAAATCAATTTTTAAAATTAACTATTTTTGGAAATGAATTTTTGAATTAAATTAATTTCTAAATTTAAGATTTTACATTTTTAAAAAATAATTTATGAAATTATTAATTGTTATTGGAAATAATGTTTTAGGATTAAATCAATTTCTAAATATAAGTTTTTACATTTTTGAAAATTAATTTACGAAATTATTAAGTATTTTTAAAATTATGATTCTACTTTCGGAAGCAAATTCTAATTGAATCCAAATGTTTTTTTTTATTATGATAAAAGGTATTTTGGGGGAAAATATTTAAAAAATTAATGTGGTATTAAGAGAAAAAAAATTACATATAAAATGAGTTGAAACATTTCAATATAAAAATTTTATATACATATATGCACACATATATATAGATTCCTAAAAAAAGTTTCTACAAGAAAAAAATTTAATATAAAAAATAAATAAATTTTCTTTCATATGTCACAAATAATTTGTCTACTCAAATTTTAGATAAACGAGAGAACTTTTAAAAAGTTCTCAACAGAAAAATACAGAAGTATAAAATATTTTCAATATACGAGAAAATTTTTTATTTAATCTTTATATATTTTTTTTTCTCTTACATAAAGACTTCTCTATATTTTTTTCTATTGAATAAGACTGAAAGTTTAGACAAAACAAAATTACTTACCTAATCTAAAGTTTTATGTAAGTTCAGATAAAATTCTAAACTTTAAACCCTAAAATTCAGATTAAGACTTCTCTACAACTTTTTTTAAATTAAATCTAAATATTTTATTTTTCAAATAATAAAATTTTATTTATAATATAGAGAATCTATTGATAAACAAAAAAAAATACAAGAAAAACATGGAAAGAGAAAATAAAAAAGAAAAAAAAATTAATTTAAAGTTTTAAAATAAAATTTATTTTTTAAAATAATTTGAACACTATTTTCTTAAATATTTAACCAGTGAAGTACAATTTATTCTAATATTTATTTTGTAATAATTCTTTATATTTAAAAGATTAGTTAAATTCAACTAAATAAAATTTTCTTCGAAAATTCATTCATTTTAATAAATTTTTAAATTCAACAGTTACTTCACTTTTTACCTTGAGAAAAATTTCTAAGACAATTTAATAAATAATATTTTTCTTATGAATAATTCTTTTAATTGGTACCTAATTTATTTTTGTTTAATTCAGTCTCTTTAAATATGCCTTAAAAATTTCAGTTTAATTAACTTGGTAGGTAATTCTTAAAATTTAACATACTAGGAGTTCTAATTAATTATCCTTACTCCACAAAAATATTTTTATCACACTTAATAGAATTAATTAAAATTTAATTTTAGAAACAAATTACTTACTTTTAAGTCTCATTCTTTATTTATATCTTTTAATTACTAATTTCTTTTTTCATCTAAACAAATCCTGTTTTATGCTAAGTCCACTTCTATAATTATTTATAGTTTACTAGTATGAAATTAATTGTCTTTAAATGTTTTTTATTTAGATAAATAGTTATCAAATTCATTGTCAAATCATCAAATTTATGTTTAAGTGGCGTGATGATTTGTCTCTTAATGACAATAATCCTTCATCCTATCTGATTTTGGAGCTGACATGGTTTGGGCTTCTAGAAAAATTTTAAATATTATTACAAGTGACTTACTAAATATCATCTATTTGGTGCTAGTTTTTATGAATTCTTATTTTTAGATATTTCTTAGTCATGTTTTATATGTCTTTGACTTCTGATAACAGTTAACGTACAACAAAATTCTAAAAGTTTGTTGTTGTTAGTGTTAACTATTTATAAGAAAAAGGGTTACAATTATGAACATTATCAAGTTAATTTCTTAATAATTCATATAGTTTTTTGTCATTTATATTTTTATATTTTTCTATTTCTATCTAATTTATGTGTGTATCATTTTTAATGAGAATTAAGTTGACCTTTCCATAAAAATTTAGTTACCTCAATTTTAAAAATTTTATATTCTTTGATCTTAATTTAAAATTCACTTTGAAGGCCTAGTTTTTCACAATTTTTCATTCTATTTTTATTTCTTCTTTTAGAATTTTAATCTAACACAGTCTAAAAAAGTCATAACTTAAATAAAAGTTTAAAATAGAAATGTCACGAAAGGCTTGGGTAGGAGATCAAGAAGCAACAAGAAATTTTGTCCAAATATACCCTTAGAATTAAAAAAAATAAACTTAATTTTGTAACACAGTTAACATTTAAAAAATTATTTAAAATACTTTTATATGTTAAGAAACCAAAATAAAAAAATAAAAGTTAAATGATAAAGTGAAATTAAACTAAAAATTAAGAGACTAGTTTACTAATTTAATCTAAACAAAAGGTATTAATTTTAATAATTATTTTTAAAATTATAATTAGAGTGCATTTATTGGCGTAAAGTTACAATTCAGGAGCATGTAGTTAGATTTTTTTTGTCAATAAATTGTCAGAGTTGTTTACATTAAATAAAGAAATTTTATAGCTTTTTAAAGTTATATAGTGATAGCATTACCTTATTAGAAGTTAGCTTACAACATTTTTCTCAATTTTACCATTAACCTTTTAAACTTATTTTTTTTAATATATTTAGCACATCCCTTATTGATTCATTAGTTTGTTATTTATTCTCTTTTATTTACTGAATTAGTATTCATATTATATAATTATTTTATTATTTATTATCAAATATTCTTAAATAACATAAATATATTAATTGAATTTAATTTTGGTGCACTTTTAGTGACTTTTACGCGATCAATCAATTAAAATATATTGTTAATGTGATTTTTATATTAGTTAATATAGAAATTAAAGATTTATTCTGATATGAAAATTTATAATTAAATGATAATATAATTTTTTTTATATTTTCAATGTAAATTATATATATTCATAATTTTTTTTTAAATTATGTATTTTTATTAATTAAATATTTTATTTTTAATCTATACTTTTAAAATTCTATCAAAATTATTTCTACATACTTATTTTATAATTTAAATATATTTATTTAACATTATTTTTAAATATAAAAAAATGCAAGACATAGGACAATCAATAACAAAAAGAATAAGCTAAGCCTAATTAGACGGTGTACTTTATTTTTATAAATGTATCAGCACTATAGATTGCAGTACAGTTTCTTTGACCGGGACCGAGTCCATTCAAGCCCTACTTTGACAGAAGAAGCGCGTTACTAATTAATATGATAAATTAATAACAAATTCACGCAGTCTCATGAAACATAATGTTTTTACATTAAAGTGACAATTTTTTTAAGAGAACAAAATTTAAAAATAAAAATTAATTAATATTTTTTAAATGAAATGAATTACTTTTTATAAATAAATTTACAAATTAAATAATAATAAAATTAATATTTTTATTTTAAAAATGTATTTCATAAAAGATAATTCAGTTTATATTAAGAATTCCAACTCAATGATAAGATTAATTAATTTTAATAAAATAATTACATACAAAACTTAATTCAAAATGTTATAAAAAAATATTTTTAATTTATAAATATTTTAACAATATTAACATTTATTTAATATATTTTAAATTTTTTTTATCATAATAAATCATTCATTTCTACCTAACGGTATATATTTATCATCAAACTATTCTTAAAAAAATTCTACATTCATTGAAAAATATTTAAGAATAAACACAAGGTGAAAAGAGAGAGATAATCTAAGTGTTTTACTAAGGTTTTTTTTACCCTTAAATCTAACTTTTCCTAAACACCGTCGTGCCTTGAAGTGACTCCATAGTGACTAGTGTAAAGAGTTTTTCCCAAAATTTTGAACTCTCAAAGACGTGAAGCATAGGATGGATAACTCAAAAGCAAAGAAAAGATCGAAGGAAGAAGTAGATCTAGTGTTCTAAAGCAAGAAAAAGGTAAAGAGGGTTTCAGCATCTCCTTTAGAAGATCGCCCTCATGTATGTTGGAAATTAACCTCGATGACGGTGACATGAATTAGGTGCTACCAAATCCTAATTTTTCTCCATGCATATCTTACAAGAACAAATTACTTGCTATGAATGACCTAGATTTAGTCTTAGGAGATGAGGAAATAATCAAATCAATTATGGAGAATTTTAATATCCTTTTGGTTTGATGAACCTGAAATAGAGTATGACAATTTATTTAACCTTTGTCCTAAGATTAAGGTCCCATTAGAGGACTACAAATCATGGTGAAACCCATGGAAGTTTACTTTAATAGTAAAACTTTTAGGTAAGTTCATTAGCTTTAATTTCCTGAGTCAAAAACTTAACAATATTTGCAGAAAGAATGAAAACCTTAAAATTTTAGACCTTAATAATGATTTTTTCCTTGTTAAATTTGAGAACATGGAGTATTACAAACATGCCCTATTTGAAGGGCCATGACTTATTATGAATCATTATTTATTAGTTTAAAGATGGAGGCCTTGGGTTAGCTCTAAAGAGTATAATCTTATGAAACTTTTAGTCTTAATGTGTATCCCAGATCTGCCCCTAGAATTGTATAATGAAAAGTTTTTATGGCAAGTTGGTACCAGTTTGAGATCGATGCTGAAAATCAA